GGTGGTGGTCGGGGTGAGTAGGTGGTCAGAGCTGAGTCCTTGAGGTTGGCGTCAGGGTTAGTGGGCGAGCGGACGAGGAAGAGTGGTTCTTTAGATTTGGCATTGTAGTTACGTTTATGGTGCATTTATGCTACAAATGAGTTGCTTTTATAGAGGGAAATATTTCGGTCTTGTTTTTTTTTCGGTAAAATGAAAAAGTGTTGAGGAGAATGGCGATTAAAACAGGCAATACGGCGAGTGGCAGTGTGTGGGATCGGTGAGTGGGTGAGGTGAGGGCCAGAGTTTAAAGGTGGAAACCAGGCTTCCTAGGGTTGGGCTAGATATAATTATTAGTTGAAATAACACAAATTAATTAACTGATTTGCTATAGAGTAGAAAAATAGATCGAAGTACGCGTAACATTGAAATTGGACAGTAAAGGTGTTGACGAATGTGTTGGCATCTATGGTCCTAGCTAGTTACTGTCTTGCAAACATGACTTACGTCTGATAAATCAATTAGAACATGAACATATTAATGATCTAAGCTTTATTGGTATGGATGTCAAATCGTGTTGGCTATGTTGTTGGAGATTTTGCCTTCATGAATAGTCTCGCATGGATTAGTGTAATGAATATATAGTAAGGGACGTTTAAATTGCTTTTCCACTCATTGGACTTTGAGGATCCCTAAGAATGGGGTGTTTTGGGTTTTGTATTGTTTGGGCTTTGCATAACAAACGCACGTCTCGCCACGCCGCAGGCACACGTTTTTTGTTTTCCAAACTTTATTTTTACACGTTTTTTTGCGTGCGCAACAGCTGCAAAATTTGAGGGTAACGGCTGCGGATTTGGCGAAGGTTACCGAATTGATTGTTGGGGTTTGTAACAGCTCTCTAAAACCCTATATATACAACCGAAGACCCCTTTGGAAAAACACAGAAACGAAAGCAAATTCTTCTCTTCTCCTATGTTCTTCAAAGCAATTATTTTCGTGTAACTTTTAGTTTTTACCTTGGGCAACCGTCTTCATCTGAGCAGAAGCTCTGCACTCTCGCCCGTGTTCAAAGACCGGCCGATTCCGGGGGGTTTTACCGCTAGAGGAGAGGGGATCATCTGCGTCAAGGGCAATAGGCGGGTCCTTAATCTTCTAGGGCAATGTTTACACGACTGCTCCCGATCATGCAGATTTTCTTGTTTTTCTTATTTTAGATTTTTGCATGCTATAACTTATAACTTATTTGATTTTATCTAACAAAACGACCATCCTAGCTAAGATCATGGACCTACTTGGCTACAGGCTACTTACTCTTTGTTTGCTCTTATGTGTGCGTACGCTCGCGCATAGGGATGATGGATATGCATATTTATGGATTTATTTGTATATGTATCTGATAGAACAATGATTATTATTTAATCTATACTTGGTAAGTGGTAAGATATGGATACAGATGATATGAATGTGTAAGTAAAATAGTAGTGTCCGCATGCATATGAATATTCAAGCTAATATATGTACGGATTAGACATTGAATTATCCTCACCTTTAAATTAACTAATTAATCTAAGGACAATATTGATGATACTTTAGAGTCTAATCTTAGGTTTATCAAATATATATAGTAAACATATTGATCGACTCTAGTCACTCTCATTTAAGAAATTATTCGCATATATCGAATTACAGTGTGCGCATGAGACTTTTCTTTCCGTGATTCTATTAGCCTCGCTTGTTTTCTGGCTAAATGAATGGCACTTAAAGTACTTTAATGTTTCATCATATTTACAATTAAATATTTTAAGTTGTAAGTAAGACTCCGACATCCTAAGTTATAAAAAAGTAACACTTTAGTCCTTTATGTTGTAAAATCTAGCACTTAAATACCCTATTATTTCACCACCTTTAGAATAAAATATTCTAAGTTGTAAAAAGTGGCACTTTAATATCCAGAATTGTAAGAAAATGATACTTTAATACCCCAAGTTGTAAGAAAGTAGCACATTAATATTTTCTGTTAGTTGTCGGGACATATTCCTAAGAATATTTCCATGACAACTATCAAAAGAAATTAATGTGCTAATTTTTTACAACTTAGAGTATTAAACTGTTACTTTTTCAAGTTAAGATATTTAAGTATAAAGATGGTGAAAGAATAAAGTATTTAAGAACCATTTAACCCTTATTTTCTACATATTTATGAAACCATGTTTTATCTTTCTAATAAAAAGAATTCGCTACGACTAGTTGTGACGATACACATTAATTTCTGTGTACATTGCAAAACTCCTCAGTTCATTTCTTCATTTCTAATGCGGAAAAGTGCCCAGCCCACTTAAACCTACCATCATTCAAATTGAAGCCAACTTACATAAGTCACAACTTAGTTTATGAGAGCCCAATTAACTAATTTAGTTAGCTTAAACTAATTTCTTTCATTTCTTCATTTCTATCATGGTTTCGCAAAAAAAGCCCACCATATCAAATTTACCCCTTAACTAATTTAGTCAGCTTAAACTACTTACACACCTTCGGTTGGCTTAACCTTTATACATTAGCAACGAAGAAAGACTCAGCAGTTCTATTGGTGCGGATAGGCCCCATCGAGCCAATCGCTTTTACTTCTTATAAAGTAGAAAATGTTTTGTAGAGGCAGATAGGCGTCCCTTGCAGTTCTATTGGTGCGGATAGACCCCAGCTGTTGAATCAATTCACCTATGATTCAATGGGTAACAATTCAGAAAAAGAAAATATACCAAAATTTTAAAAAATTGTAAATAAGATTCAGGATCCAGAATCAGATAAAAAAATTTACCTTCTATCATTAGCAGAACAGGAAGGGGAAGGGATTTTGTTCGTGGCCTTTAGACAGAATTGAACTAGTCAAACAAAGTACGGAGCCCGTCATTCATTATTTATCATTTATCATAAGAATTAGTTATGGGCCTACGGCTAAGGTCCAACTTGTAAGTGAAATATAGAATCCGCAATTAGGCCCAACTGTCCATTAACTATGAAATTCGAGCAGACATGAGTTAACTCACGCGCTGCTGTTTCGTCGTTTAGCCCTGGCGCTCTGAGCTTCGCATGGTAGCGTGTATGTAGAGTATATCTCGACTCCATGAAGGAACCATTTTTTTTCTAAAAAGCTTTAAATTATCAAGTGTTGGCCATTAATTTCTCATCTCAGAGCTTTAAATTAGACCATTATTTGTGATTAGTGCGATAACAAGTAATCATTGCGGTATCAGTACTTGTTCCCAGGTTAATTACACTTGAAAATGTGAACCTCCATCACCCTTTACAGCATGCTTGAGTTAAGATATGCTTTTTATCAAACTGTTACAAACTTTTTCGGGTCTTGCTGACCATTACTCGAGCGAGACATATTCACCTTCGCGATTCTCCCTCTCTCTTTCCTTCTTAACAATCGTTAACATTGAACAAAATTGACTTCTTTAAATCAGAAAAGATATCATAATTCTCTATAAGATTAAACTAATCTTCATTATCTTCTCATGTTAATCCCAAGTACTCCCATGTTTTCACATGGTGTTTTATTGTACAAGAACTTTTCTAGATAGAAGGACGAAATTTTGATGTTCTGTTAAGAGCGCTTAAAGAAACTAAGAAATTCACTTTTACAACTGTTAAAGTTTATGGCAAAATGAAAAAAAAAATGCTAGTTTTTCACAATAGAGAAAGTCTAATTTAAACTCACCTCATGGATTCTCTTGAATTTAGTTGAAATAAGCATGCCACATAAAAAGTTACAATAAGGAATCACATTCACGTAATAATAGCCTCGTTTGTTTCAAGGATTTGAAAATAGGATTTGCATGTGTAAACAATTAGATCATTCTTTTCCTATGTTAGCAGGTTCCATTTAATTAAAAATTACTCAAAAGAGGTTACAGAAAAAAAAAAACTAGTTAAAAATATTTTCCTATTTAATTTTTTTTCTTCATTTATTTGAGAATACCACAGTGACTAAATAACTGGCATACTACATTAGTGATAACTGGACACATCTCTTTCTAATAGTTTCAATTTCTAGCGAACAAGTAAGAACGTTTGGATTCTTTTCCAAACTTAGTATTTTTCCACTTCATTACATTACAAAACAAACACAAAACTAGCAGCATGAGTGTATAGTTGCTTGAATTTCTTCATCATCGCAAATCCAAAAATACAAATCCCACATCCAAACAAACCCCCCAATGAACAGTCGCATTTAATGATTCAGTCTCGGAGCCATCGCAATCGAGCCAAACCCAAAAAATCCGAACCGTTTCAAGTGTCAACTTCCTCAGTCAACTAGAGCTGAGTTAGTTAGCAATGAGTCAAACCCCTCACGTGCTCGTCTGAGCAAAACATACTGAGTTCTGACACAAGCAATAAAAGCCACTCCCTGAAAAGGAAACTTTGATTAAAAATCATTTCCAATTCAGTATACAGAGCATTATTGTCCTTCTCCCATCAATCAATCAATCGCATTAATATTATTACATCGACCCCCTCGAAACAAATTTAATCATCAAAAAAGCACAAAACACCCTCCTCCACAATTCATCTCCCGTCACGTGAGAGAGGAGTTGGCGGAGAGATACGCACCCATACAGTCCCAACAGTGAAGGTGCAAGTAGTGGGTTCGGGTTGTTGGAAAACGGGTTGGGTATCAAGGAATGAATCCGAACTGTTAGAGGGTCTGCCTACAAGGCTACAACTGTTCCCGGTTAGGGGATACAGATTTAAAATTCAGAAAAGTTCGCTCGCATACAGATAGTTTTCAGGGAATTCATATTCAAATTAACATATTGACACACGTGATTGTCTATCCAGCGCGTATTAAATAAATATTTTTTTTAAAAACAAACAAAAAAAAACTACTTTCTAGCAAAAAGATAACGCGACAGAAGGTTAGTAGATTTTGTAATTAAATGTTAATTGGATCATTTGTATAATTAAATATTAAAATTATTACCCGAAGTTAAATCTAATGTTGTAAAAACGATAATCCAAAGTTTCACAATTAATATCCGTTTCATTGAATTTCATTCCTCGTCATTTTCCAATCAATCAATCACAATAATATTACCCCGAAACAAATTTAATCATCACCAAACAAACAGAAACGCCCCCAGTCATAAGTCCTTCGTCACGTGAGAGTGGTGTGGGCAGAGAAATAAGCCAGCAATCCCAAAAGCGGGGCATTAATGTAAGTAGTGGGCTCGGACTGCTGGAAAACGGGCCGGGCATCCGGGAACGAATCCGAAATGTTTGAGGGTCCACCTACGACTGCGCCCGTTAAGAGATTCGGGTTCGGAGCTTGAGTTAAGTAGTAGTTTGTGCCCGCTTTGCACCCGATATGTGCTGGGTGGGCCCTAACAGAGGGAAGGGAGCTGCCACGGTGGTGGATGCGGCGAGGATAATGCTGACCGTACCCGACCATGTATGACATACGTAGTGGGTTGTCTCCGAGAATGTAGTCAACCTAAATTTATGAAAATTTTATTATAAACAAATAAGATATAATTGTTCGTACCTTAGTTTAATTAGTATCAACCTAAATGTATATTCAAGCATGCTGACTTTTTACTTTCCTTCTCTATATAGTAATCATAATAGTATTATTGCCCCGTAAGGCCGTAACGATATACACATTGATTGCCATTAATTTTTAAGAAATGGACCACATAAGGACCGGATAATTGATGAGTATAATATACGATTTGGAAATATTAAGACTTGCTTTCTTCTTGTCCATGAAACAAATAGAAGTATTAATTAGTAATTCAATTTACTATTTGGGAAAATTAGTTGTATTTCTATACTTTAATATTAAATAAAGAACATAGTGCAGATCCTAATATATATCTTTATTTTGATACGAGAGCTGCTATAGGGACACCAAAATAGGGGACCCTGCATAGGACAAGTGAGGTGTTGTCTCCCTGTCCCGTGATACACTGTTCATAAACAGTGCATTACGGGACAGGGAGGCGACACGTCACATGCCCAACTCAGGGTCCTTTATCTTAGGGTCCTTGAGACATTTTTCTTTTGATACCTAAAAACTCATATATTAGCCTTAGCCCTCCCTAGTTCATCAGTGAGAAAGGTGCTAACAAGAAGTTAAATGCTAATTAATGAGTTGATGGATGTTAAGCACTACCAAAGTAAAGATAGGGGCGGATATCCACATAAATTATTATACGATAATTAGAAGAAGAAAATGAGACCAACTCTTAATTTTTTTTTTTTCACATTTAGTTTTGTATAATTGTTAAATACAATTTCTAATAATAAGTAAATTAATTCACAAGTATCAACAAGTATTCTTAAACTCGGGCACATGTATCTAATTTTTTGTATATAACACAATAACTTATTATACCTGTCTTTTTGCGACTCGCTTTAGCTGAGCTGGCGACGCCGAGTCCCCACCACAAGGCACGTGACCGTTGGCATGGCTGAGGTAATTGGAATAAGCGAGGAGCAAGAACGAGAGGGATGTCACGTGCTGCATGTTACTCCCTCCCGCCTTAAACAGCAAACCTCCTAAAATTCTCCCATTGGAAGACAAAAGGATAGGTTTATTATCCCCATTAGCTAGCTGGCATCATGGCATTGAAGGGTAACTTTCTACAATTAAATACAAGTGGAATAATTAATGAGATAACAATATAAATATAAAAACCTGGGGAGTACTGGATTTGAGGGTGCCGAGATATTCCCGGGAGTAACGAGCAAATAAAGTTGTCCGCTCTTGTCTTAAAGGACTGGAAGTAATCATCTTTTCCCATCAGCACTTCCTGTTTCATTAACCACCACAAACAAAAGTTAATTTACATATTTTATTTTAACACTGTACCGAAAAAAGTTAGATAATTGGGTCGCATTAATTAGATAATCCCACTAAAACCTCGAAATCGGATATGAATCAGATACGGGCATTTACTATATGTAAATTTCCTTTGCTATTATTAATCAGATACGGGCCAAGACAGGTTCTCATGTGTCTATAGCCGGGTTTAGACATTTTATGAATTAAGGATTTACATGTTCTCGTCCAATTTTATGGTTTAAAATGCAATATCTGTGTTTCCATAGACCAGCATGCAAAATGGCTTCAAAAGAAACGGTCAACCCGCAATTCCACCCGACACCCACAAACTCCAACCAGTTGCGATCACCAACGCACAAGCGCGGTGCCCGGAACCAGGACAAGACAAACATTTGCACCGATTTATGGAGCAACAGTAACCAACAGCGATGGATCCGGTCACCGCGGAATAAAAGTTAATTATAGTAAAGCTGCAATAAAGCCGTACTTATACCTTGGAGATTAGCACATTAATCCCAGCGTGCTTATTATCCCATCCAAACTCATTAATGCTATCTCCAGCTCCCAAAATCTGCTCGTTCACTTTTATGTACTCTCGGTATTCTCGCTTCCGTGATGCTTTGTGAAGCCACGCTGCGCCCCATAGAAGCTCGTCCTGTTATTAGATCCAGACCGTTAGATTTTGGGGTGGGAGAATTGGATGGTTGGGATTAATTTGGCGGTGAGGTTACCTGGTAACCGTCGAAGTCACAGTAGAACGGGCATACCGCGTTACGGAGGCTGCTGCTGTATGCCCCGCGGTGTTTGTCCGCGAACTCGAATACCTGCCAAAGGGAAGGGAATTTTGTATAAGGCCCACTTTTGAAAGTATATTTACGTATTAAGCCAGAAAATTGCAAAAAAAAATCCATTACACATTAGAAATTTTAAGCATATAAGCAACTTCCGCATACCCTCATTCGGTACATTATATAGTAGTATAATTTCAATGTGATTTCTTGTTAATTTTTATAATTTTTCCCTTTAGAACAGGTGAAAATTTCTATATACTGATATAACGACCTTTTTGGAAATGTCATTTTAACCCTTCTAATATAATCAACTTCTCCACAACGGTGTTGTGAGAAATAATAGTCCACGATAAAAAGATAAATTTATATATAACAAAGTGCACAAAATATCAAAAATGCAGAATGTGCGAAGCCTTTGGAATTGTTTGCGCGTGAGCAACCAGGAAGTTCCTCTTTCATAATAAGAAGGCATTTTTTTGTAAATTAAAAAAAAAGAAAAAGGGAAACTTTTGTAAAAACAGTGCACGAGATAGCAAAGCTGCAAAACACTGCAGGCTGCTACAGCAGTACGTAAGACCACGCACGAGAAATGCACGTGACCAACCACTTTTATGCCCTTCCGTACTGTTCCCTTCTCCAGCCAGTCGCATTCTCGTAGCAAACAAAAAAAAAAAAAATTCGCGAACCTAAAAAAAAAAGCGCCACGAGAGAAACACACGTGACACTCACCTTAACGGCCGCTCGAGCAAAACCCCGGAATACGCCGGATCCCGTAGCGGAAGACGATCGAAGCGCGGCCAGCGCCGCCGCGGTCTCGCCGGCTACATCCGAACCCGGATGATTTCCGTCGACCTATACACCTCCTCGGGGCCATGTCCTCGGGCCTCTCCCAACACGAGTGATCCCTGAACGCGTCGCCGACCTGAACGTAAACGACGTTAGGCGTCGCCGTCGTCTTCAACAGATAGTCCGTGGCCCACCTTAACGCCGTTAAGGCGTCGTTAAGGTGGGGCCCCATGTTTTTGCCGAAGTCGATGATGCCCCACGCCATTAGTGTCGCCGTGAACGCCATTGGGAAGCCGAATTTAATGTTGTCCCCGGCGTCGTAGTAGCCCCCCGTTAGGTCCACCTGCCGTCAAGATTAACGGCGCCGTTAGATAAATAAAAATCTCGGTGGGTTTTTTTTTAAATTGTGAAAACCCGAAGTTTTACTCCCGTTTCTTTTCCAATCCATGCAACAAAAGTACTCTGATTCTTTATCTTGCGTTAAATTGCTACATTTTGCTAAGTACACATAATGTGTTTGAAAGCCATTCAATATACATGATCGAGGTGATTTTACGAGCCCAAAGTTTGAAGGGAGGTAACCGCGGTAAGACGAGCGGTGAGCTTACCCCGTCCTGAGCGCCGTCGTGCAGGGCTGAGTCACGGCGCCACGTCAGCCTCTGGTTGTGGGGGAGCTTGCCCGAGCGCTGGCCCTCAAAGAAGAGAATGCTCTTGTGGAGAGCATCGCTGTAGTCGTGAGCAGCGTAGCTCGGCCGAGAAACCGGCCCCGCTACGAGAATGAGCGCAAGAACGAATACCGGCCGATACGTCGCCATTGCGTCACGAATTGAGCGAGTGAGCGAGTGAGCGAGAGTGAGGGAGAAGAAAAAAAAAGGGGGAATAATTTATAGAGGAAAGGGTATTGAAACGGGAACGGAGGGGGCTTAGGATTCTTTGAGGGCGGCCGATGGGAGGGTGACGCGTGGAGTAAAAAAGCAGGCCCGGGGTGGGGCCCGGTTGAGGAGGAATGGGTACGGCGAACCGAGAGGTGCTGAGGTGTATTTATGGTGGTTATTTTTTCCCATGGAGGGATTATTTTAGTGACCGTTGCAACTTGGGGGGGTGATGGGCCGAGGAATGATTGAGGGTACATCATGAGATGTTTAGATTAAGATGGGAGCGATCTAGCTAACGCAAAAAGGGGATTATGGGTTGGATTTGGATTTATTTCTTTTTGTCGTGCCCAGGGGATCTAAGGATTACGGTTTAGTTTATACCCATCTATTGCCTAGTGGCAAAGGTTTAGTTTGTTAATGATGGCTTCATTGGCGGGGTGGCGGGGTGCGCATCATCGACCTTTTGGGATATCGACTTGGAGAACTTTGTTGGGATATTTCTGTGTTAGATTGGAAAGAGCAAGTTTGACAATCAAAATGTGATGGGAGTAGTCGAGATGTGACGATAAAATGCGGTAGCTAGTTGTAGAGGCGTGACGAAGAGATTTATGTTTGAACGATCAGAACGTATGATAGTAATTTTATACTAATCAAAAGCCCTAATTAATGATGTGGACACATGAATGTGATGAAGAGATTATGATCTTGTGATGAGGCCCCTTCGGCTCTAACGGGATGAGTAGACTTGGCGTTGGTGCTGGAACATGCGTTCGGATGTTGGGTAAGCTTTGATTGCGAGATCGGATAGGGAATATCATTGCTTGCACCTTTATGCTTTTCATTTCTGGTCACCTTTTGTCTTGTGCAATAAGAACCGACACAAAATGAAATCAAGAAGAAGGGTATGATTATAGTGGATGATTTTTTTTTTTAACAAAAGATGGTGAATATAGAGTTCAGTTGCAGAAAATGATCAATGTAGTACACAATTAACTTGAAATGCATATATATATGCTGTCTTCAAGGACTTGAGAATAAAGACTTTGGCGCTATATATGTCTCAATACTAAAGCCATTATTGCAGGTATCAACTGTTAAGTCATAATAAATTGTTGTTAGAACAGTAAAACATATATCTTAAATTAGCCCTCTGAGTAGGGTGCTAAACAGTATCCCTATCCGAGGAAATATCTGTCACCGTATTAACGGATGCGGATATGGTTACTCAAATCTATAACCGATAGGATATGGTTACGGGTATGGTTTTGTAGTGAAATATATGAATACATATTAGTGATATTGTTACAATGGTATTAGTCTTTAGATTATGGATATGAGGTTAAGTTTGACGATCAAGATGTCTAATTTTAGCTTTTTAGATATATTGAATATATTAATGAACTCTTTTGTATCGCATGAACTATATTTTTCAACATTATCTAGTTTTCTCTTATCCGTTTTATATCCTCATGCATATTCGCTTATATATCCTCATGTATATCTGTATCGGTATCCAATTTTAGCGGATATGAATATGAATTTTCCTTACCGAGGTATATCCATATTCGTATCTGTATCCGTATCCAAAATGAATAAGTGGATATGGATATAGTAAGCATCATATCCAAGTCGTATCCAGACGGAATGCACCCCTACTTGTAAGTGTCAACTTAGTTTGTGTCGGACCTGAAATTTAACCAAACCAATTCACAAAATTTTAAATTTTAGAGCTCCCAGACCACTAATACTATCGAATCCTAATATTCAAAAACTGGATAAATTTGGTGAAACATTGGTTAATTCAATCCAAAATCTAGGAAATCCATTTCAGATTATTTTTTAAGAAAATCGATGAAATCTTTTAAGTGGTTACTTTGTCAGATTTCCTTTTTTGTTTTGTTGATTTTAGGTAAATTAACCAAACAATTGTCATAGTATAAAATTCATGAATCATATTATGAAACTTTGAGAGGGAGTAATTGAGCAAAGACTACGAAAAGAGATAAGTATATCTAAAAATTAATGTCTGAGAGGTCAACTACGGATACATACTTTAAAATGGTCAATGGAAAGATATAGAGAGAAGAGAAAGGATCCACGTATATATAGTTTTCATAGATTTAGAAGAAAAAATTTATGATTGTGATTGAGTGCGTAGAGAGTTAATGTAGTGGGTTCTAAAAAAGAAATATGTATCTAATATATATATTAATGTGGTGAAAGATATGCATGATAGAGCAATAACTAGAGTAAAAACTAATAAGGAGAGACTGAACTATATCCTCTTATCACATGTTTACACTAAGGATTGGTCTTAAGTCTTTATTTTTTTGCATTAATTATTAACCAATTTACTAGGTGCATTCAGTATGAAATCTCAAATTTTATGGCGCATATTATTTATAGATGATATAGAATTAGTTGATGAAACTAGAAAAGATATATTTTCTAAACTAGAAAGTTGGAGACATGCTCTTCAATCTAAATGTCTTGAAATTAGTAGAACAAAAATAGAATAGATGAAGTGCATTTTTAGTAAAATCAAGAAAAGAAAAGAGCCTATAGCATATATTGATGGTCAAAAATAAAGTAATTATTGAAGGATCGCTGCAATGGCACTCAAACACTAGAAGGGGGGGTTGAATAGTGTTTATGAAATCTAATGCGGAAACTTTAAATTTCAATAAAATAATATCACAAAGAGTAAGAAAGATCAAACCAATGTGTAGACAATCACAGAAAATTGCATACGCAAACACAAGGATTTATACTGGTTCGGTCCTCCAGACCTACATCCAGTCCCCAAGCCTCGCTTGAGGTTTCTCCACTATTTCCACTTGCAAAAACAGCAAGCAATTGCAACCCGCAAACAAACCGTTCAACTTTGACAATCTTCAATTGCCAATGCCACAAGAATCTCTTCTTTCAAGAGATTATCAAATCAAAAACAAGATGGTACAACTTTCTCTTCCTATAAGCCTTGATGTGTAGATGTGAGTGACTTACAATAGGCTATAGGGATGATTTTTGTTCTAGAGTGGTGGAACTTTTATCAAGAACAAAACTGAAATTTTTATGCAGTTTTTCTCTTCAAAATGATCTTAAGAAGTTAAGAAAAACTCAAGTTTATAGAAAGGATTAAGAGATAAATTTTCAGAACTTAACACCTATTTATAGGTATAATTTTCGTTCAAAAATATTCAAAAATAACTGCCAAAAACGTTCACAAAACGTTCATATTCATTTGAAAAATATAGCTGTTAGAATGGTTGTCTGGTCGACCAGATTTAGGCCTGGTCGACCAGACAGAGAAATTCTGGAATCTGTCCGAGTCTGTAGCCTCTGGTCGACCAGACAGAGATTTTTCTGACTCTGTTTCTGGTTCAGTTATATCTGGTCGACCAGACCTATCTTTGGTCGGCCAGAAACCATATTTTTGATATTTTCAATAGTTTAATAACTTATTCATATGTTGATTAAAATTAGGATTATACTTAGAATATTTTCTATGATCTTCTAAGTGAGTAGTGTGTGTTGTGTGTGTGATCAAGGCTTGTACAAAGATTCTAAAAGAAAAGACAAAATTACATCACTCTTGTAAAGTATATTTTCTTCTTGAATCGCAAAGTGACTTGATTAACTTCCTCTTTTTGATCTTTGAAATCTTTTCTTTGATATAGCCTTAATATCTTGATTGTTGCTTTGAGATGTATATCTTGAATCTGCAGTAAAATATGTTAGATAAACAATGATTTGTTATCATCAAAATACAAGAGATATTGTAACATCAACCATGTTCCCAACAATTATTTTTGTTATTTTGGATCAATCATTGAGCATGATTGTGAGATTGAGAATGTTATTATTCATTGAATCAAATCAAAATGGTTGAAATGAAGGAGTGCTTTGGAACTCCTATGTGATCTTATAATGCTAATAAAACTAAAAGAAAAATCCTACAGGACGATTATAAAACTAACAACGCTTTTATGGGTCAAAATGTTGTGATGGTCTTGTAGATTTATACTAAAAGATATGATAAGAAATGAGTATACCTGTAGTAAATTAGAGTTTTCTCCTATTAAGGATAAAACTAGAGGGAATCGACTAAGATATTTTGGTCATGTATAACAGAGACCTCTTAATTCATCAATTTGAAAAAGTGATAATATTATAATTAATGGATGATTCATGTGGTGGGCCTCAAATATTCAAGATAAAAGCTTCAATGTTGTTGTAGGTGAATTAACTAAACAGCCCCTAAACATTGAAGCAAATTTCATTCTGGGAAGAGAGGAAACAAGAAAAGAATTCGGGGGTAAAGGTTTTCAACTGTTTCATGGAAAAAGGTCATTATTATTATTATTTCAAAAGAATGTGTAATTGACGTGCCATGCTTTGCTCACAATGTGCATCTACAAAAGAATTTGAACAACATCTGATTAAAAAAAAAAAAAGGAATTTGGACGACACAGCAGACAGTAATAATATAGTGACATTAAGCCGTTAGCATAAACTGATATTTGAAGGGAAAGAATAGATTGAAGTAAAAATTAGGGTACACGCAAATATGAAAGTTCACATCACAAAAGTCATAGCAACCGGGAGGCAAAAGTCATGATAAATCCAAAAGCAACTTTAACTGATCTCAAAGAGCTCCAAACAATAAAAAAATCTGTCGAGGACTTTGCACGGAAAAAACAAAGAAACTACTTCTTCGGTCCCAACGTCCCATCAACCAACGGCAATATTGGAACAAGGCACAAACAACAGAGTATATTACAAGGAATTAATTTAAAAAAAAAACAAATTAAGAAAATGAAAAGAATGGTACATTAAACGGAACCCCGAATACTTGCACATTTTCTACGCATATCAGCTAACGCTTTGTTTTTCTTACCGAAGGGTAGATAATCCGAAAAGCACCGAAAATGCCCCCAGGTCAAAAAAAAAAAATCATTATTCTCTCTCTCTGTGGACTAAATATTACTCGAAAACATGACATACAAAGCAGCGGAATATGCATATCATGTAAATTAATCAAAATTGACTAAAGTTTATAAGAATACCTGAAACGTTTTTTAAACTTCCTCAATAATTTGACCAAAGATCAATTTGAAATAGCTTCCTTAAGAAAAAAAAGCCTCTAATTGAAATCTATCCGTCACCGAAGATGAGCAATACTAAAAGATACGTTCTCCATTTTCTATTTATCTATTTCTTGTTCTTTTTTCATAAAGCTACCTATGAACCCTATATATAAGATTGGAGTACTTGCCCTATATATTTCAATTTTAAAATAATTCTTAATTATTTAAAACTCTTTCTATAACAATTAAAGATAGAATATCATTTTCATAACAATTAAGAATAGAAATAGAATTGTATTGCATATAAACCTCTTCTAATGACATTACTGAGACCAATTGGGCCCCGTATCGAGAACTAATTATTAATCAAATTAATAATTTTAATTTAACAACCAAATCCCTATCTAACTAACTGTTTATAAAAGCTCTTCTATAATATGGGGTTAAATATTAATAAATAATATTATCTTAGATTTAGTCCCCTCCAGTATCGATTTATTTTAGGCAATTTTATTGAGTAGAACAAGACAACTATTTGCTCATGCCTAAAATTGCAATCCCCATGAACATAAAAAATTTATTTTGAAACATCAAAATATTTTTATGAAAAAATAATTTTTAAAAATAATTTTTAAAAATTCACCCGTCGATGAGAATTCAATACCTTCATGGGATATGCATAATAAATTAAATTATCAAAATGAGTATACAGGATCCTATCTAGATATCCACCATTTTCCTAAATGAAATCTACCAACCTAATATTTCAGGTTGTATACTACTTGTAAAATAAGCTTAACCATCATATCAGAGTATATATACTAAATTATCAAATCGAAAATAACAATATCATCAAGTCTAAGAGACTATGTAGCAATTCAAATTTCCTATATCTTAGGCGACTCGTCCTAGAGATTCAAAATGTGGTCTAGTGCTACACATATCACAATATGTACTTATGACATACGCTCGGGGAATCTTTATTCCCAGTAGCTGACTCCCACCACCACATCTCACATAATGTTGGTGTCATGCGTAATAACTTGTTATACCAAAGCTATCATTTACTAGTTATATGTTAAGCTCAAATTTAAGAAATATCTGAATTAGATCATATCTCTAAGCAAGTGGCCATCACAATGCATCATCTAACTAAACAATTTCTAAAGATAATATAAATTATATAAAAGATATCCAAACAATACGTATAACGATAAAACTTAATTAATACTTAAAATATTACATACAAAATATATTGGATGTGCAATAGCATGTAATACTACTCTTAACAAATATAACCCAACATTTAGGCATCTCATGCAAAGTAGGTTTCTACCTCTATTATGTTGTAGCCATTTTAATATTGTTTTCTGTTACTCAAATTTGTGATACCAATCAGGACAAATTGTTATTTTTGGTATGAGAGGCGTTCTTGTTATCCTGAGAGTTATGTGGCAGAAATTTTAGCTGTTTAATGGGTAAAAGTATTCGTGGATTTGTAAAAAAAAATCCCCTGACATAGTGTGTGTGGCGTGGGTGAGGTAGTGTGAAATTTACCCAAAAACTAAACAACATACTGAACTGTTCATATTTGTACTGGAAAGCAAGAGCAAAGAAAACATAACTATTAAATTACTGGGTTTTTTCTTCTTCTTTTTTTTTTTTTTTTTTTTGGGGGGG